ATAATAATAATAATAATAATAATAATAATAATAATAATAATAATAATAATAATAATAATAATAATAATAATATAGGAAATACGAACGCTCTGAGGATGATTTGGAAAAAATCCTTTCTTAGTGAGCCCCTAGAAGCCAAGAGGAACCTACGTGCTTTACGGTTCTGGAGATTTTGTGATGATGCATGAGTGGTATTTCGCTTTTATATAGAGAGAAAAGTTCATCTGAGCTGTGCTTATGAGTTAAAAACCCATGGATTTGAATCCACTTGTCAATAAGAAAAAAACAAACAGCTGGTTTAATTTCTAAAGTTAATGGCAAGAGCTGGTGGCATTTTTAAATGGACTTAATCCATCTGGATTAGCAGAATAATAGACTTTGGGAAGATAGTAAATGCATTTTCCTGGGGGTGAACATTTCAAGGGAAAAAGGAAGAGAAAGGAAGCAAACCCTCAGTCTCTAAAAAATAAAAGAAATAGCACATTTTGAGCGTCTTCATTCATTCCTCTGGGGTTGTAGGCACTTAGGGACAACATATCCCTTTTATTTCTTTTCTTAATGCTATTTCCTGATGACTTTTTTTTTTTAATCTGTAGCCCCAAAACCACAGCTCGTAAAATGTTATTTTGAAATTCTCTATTCTACCGTCTTGATTTTTAAGGGTTTTAACTCTGGTCCTCCTGCAGGTATTCCTCGACTTACGACCACAATCAAACTCCAAAACTTCTGGGTTCGCTGTCAGGAAATTTCACTGTCAGAGAATTAGCCCTGTAGCTCAGGGTCCTACTTTGGCGCTTTCTCAGCTGTGTGTGTGTGGGGGGGGGCGGGTTCTACCAAACATCTCAGGATCCAACTAGGTACCATCATCAGTGCTAGAAGGGAGTGGGGTTTGCGAGGAGGAGGAGGAGGAGGAGGACTGTAGGGCCATTGGTGCTCTCTGAACATGGTTTTATTGCAGACATCTCATGACCCAACTAGGTAATTTCATCAGAAGAAAGTGGGGGTTGCAGAGGATGAGGAAGAGAACAAGAATAAGAGGAAGAGGAGGAGGAGGAGGAGGAGGAGGAGGAGGACTCCTCCTCTAGGGCTCTTGGTGCTCTCTGAACTTGGTTTTATTGCAGACATCTCATGACCCAACTAGGTAATTTCATCAGTGCTAGAAGGGTTTGCAGAGGAAGAGGAGGAGAAAGACTGTGTATTCCTAGCTAGTCTCTGAGCTTGGTTTCTTGCGATTCATTACCCAACTAGGTAACATCATCAGTGGCAAAGGGGAGTGGGATTTGCAAGGAGGAAGAAGAGGAGGAGGAGGAGGACGAAGAAGAAGAAGAAGAGGAGGAGGAAGAGGAGGAGGAGGAGGACGAAGAAGAAGAAGAAGAAGAAGAGGAGGAGGAAGAGGAGGAGGAGGAAGAAGAAGAAGAGGAAGAAGAAGAAGAGGAGGAGGAGGAGGAAGAAGAGGAAGAAGGAGGAGGAGGAGGAGGAGGAGGAAGAAGAGGAAGAAGAAGAAGAGGAGGAGGAGGAGGAGGAAGAAGAAGAAGAGGAGGAGGAGGAGGAGGAGGAGGAAGAGGAGGAAGAAGGAGGAGGAGGAGGACTGTGGGGTTGTTGGTGGTCCCTGAGCTTGGTTTTCATGCAGACCTTTCATGAACCAACTAAGTAACATCATCAGTTTGGGAAGGGAGTGGGGGTGAAACCCCTGTAAGAAGGCAGCCAAGCTCAGGGACCACCAACCACCCCACAGGGTTCAGCCTTGCCCTGGCTGGAGCTAACTTCGGCCTTCAGTGTCTGACTTAAGAGGGGTCCATCCTATGGAGCCAACATCTAGAAGAGTCATGGTGGAAACCAGAACCTGCTGTGATGTGGTTTGGTTGCCAGCAGGCGCAAGGGAGGTAGGGGCGTCTCGGGGATACAACCAGCTGCCCCCCCTCTTGCTGATCCCTCTTTTTTTCCCAGCCCTCCAAGGGGGCCAAGCCTCAGAGATATCCCCATCACGAAGTTCTCAAGGTTGACGTCCCACAAGGGGGACAAGGTGACTTCAACTCCTGGTAGAGGACTGGATAACTTACTCTTCAGCAGGGCATGGAGAAGACCGGACTGGAGACGGAGAGAGAGAGAGAGAGAGCCAAGGTCCCTCTTGGGTCAAGAGTTGCGTGTGAGGGACTCTTTCTGGAATCTCATGGTCCCACTTCTAGATCAGAGGTCTCCAGACTTGGCCCCTTTAAGACTGGTGGACTTCAACTCCCAGAATTCTCTGGGTCCATCCAAGCTTTGGACAGGAAGGTGCCTTCAATGCAAGACCAAACCAGCTCCTCAGCACTCTGGTTCTTCACAGGCTACTAACAGGCTACTAACGGCATTTCATGGAATCCTAGGACTGGAAAGGACCTCAAAGGTCTTCTAGTCCACCCCCTTACCTAAGATCCTAGAATCCCAGCCTGGAAAGGAACCTTAGAGATCTCCTAGACCAACCCTCTGCCCAAATCTTTATTCCATGCCAAATGGTTGTTCCGTTTTTAAAAAAATTTCTTGAAGATCTCAAGTTTCTTGAATATATATCTACCCCCTCAAATTGGGCTCTTCAGGGGTGTCGGACTACGACTCCCAAAATCCTCACTCGCCGCTGCATCCATCCTCCCCTGCCGGGGGTGCTTTGGAACGTGGTTAGCGATGATCGGATTCGGTAGGGGGAGGGAGCAATGGAGGAGGCCACTTCCAAGGCATCCGTGGGCAGGACCAGGGAGGTCAGAAAAGTCAAGATGGCAGCCGTCATCGTGGGATCTGAGCCCCGCCCCCTTTTACCTATCCCAACACTCCCCCCCCCCCAAAAAAAAACTGGAGGGGGGTGAATTGTCAAACTGCAGCCAGCAACTTGGCTTTTCTGAAACCCTCCCCACCACCACATCCCACGGATACACACACACACACACACACACACACAAACACACACATGAAAGGGCAAGGGAAAAGCAACTGAAAAACAACAGCGGGATGTATCAAAAGAAGCATTTTATTAAAATTCCAAACAAACAAACAAACAAACAAAAAGGAATCAAAAATTAACACAGGATGTTGTTGACCTCCGAAGCAGATGACACGGATGGAAGAAAAATGGAGAATGGAAGAAAGAAAGAAAAAAAAAGAACAAGCAACTTAACAACCGTCGTACTTAACAACAGAAAGTTTAGGGTCAATTGTGGGCATAAGGCA